TTCGAAAAGCTTACGCCCCTTTGGTCGCATTGATGTCCTTCTCGACGAGCGCCGTCCACTCGGGATACAAGTATGGGATCGCGTTAGGCTGGAGCGCCGGGAGCTGCGCTGCAATCGTAGCCGTTAGCGCCTCGTACACGAACCGGTTGCCCTTGGCGTTGAGATGCAGCCCGTCGCTGAGGTAGCTCTCGCGCTCCGATTGCATGGACGTCCAGAGATCGATGGCGGCGACACCCAGCGCCGTGGCGGCGCGCACACACGCTGCTGCGTAGTTGCCCGCGGTCGCATTGTTGCGCCCGTAGAGTTCGTTGTCGCCAATGGGCGGCGGCGTCAGCAAGATGAACGCGGCGTCGGGGAAAGCGGCGCGCAGCGCCGTGATAATCGTCTTGGTGTTGGCTTCGTACTGGGCGAGAGGGACGTGCTGGATGCCCGACGGCAGATCTGCGTCGTTGGCGCCGAGGAAGAGCGTGATGAGAGACGGCGCGCGCTGGTGCGTGAACTCTGCCACAATCTGCGGCAAATAGTCCAAGAACCATCTACAGTAGTAGGCCGCATCATGCTTTGTGTTGGAATGGCCGCGTCGGAAAGGACAGGGCGTACCTCGTGTTGTAGCCGCTGAGGCCGCGGTTGATGATGTCTGCGCGGCGAATGTAGTCGGCCTCGAGAAGCGTCTGGAAGCCGCCGATCGCGGGGTCGGACGCTTGCTGCGTGATCGAGTCGCCAAGAAGCAGGATGCGGGGCTGGCTCATCTTCTCGTCACAATCGCCAACTTGGTTTGTGACAGGGTTGGGGCATTTTAGCCAATCCATGAATACAAGACCAGAGATTGGCTTATTTCGCAGCATTTTTATCCAATCAACACGCGCATTCTTTTAAAACCAAACAAGAAATACGAATCGCATCCACGACGATGGTTCACCACAGCATCATCCAAGGGTTTATTCTATACCCTTGCATCATCCCACCACGGCCGATGCCTTACTACACCTCAACAACAGAGTAAATAAGTAGTCTTGTTGCATGACCTATCAAACACGCAACATCGATACCTATCAAAGCAGCTCGCCGCAACGCTGGATCATGAAGGCTACAGCTCCGTCTTTGGGTGCGTCGACTTGACCTTTCTTGCTTTTTTGGCCTTTCTGGCTTTTTGTGGCTTGTGGCTTTTGGCGCTCGGAGGATACAACGTCTCTTGGTTCCATTGGATTTCAGCGACTTGAGGCTGCTCAAAGAGGAAGGCGTGGAGCTCCTGCACCCGCGATCCTTTCTGCAGCCCCGCGAGCACCTTGGCGCCCTCGAGCTCGTAAAAATTAACGTCGAGGCCGCCGTTGAGTAGCATCTACGCGCTAGAGTTAATTGGTGCAAGATATTGTCACCAGTGTACGCTTTTCCAGAGCGCACAGAGCTCCGAGAGCGGCTTCTCATAGTCGGGGTGCGCCGCAGCAAAGGCCGTGAGCTCCGACGGCTGAAGTGTGACAAAGACCATCTCGGACTTTTCGAGCTCTTGCTTGCGGTTTCTGTCGCCAAACCGTGAGCTGGTGAGAGGGACAGATCGAATGCGGCGTACTGTTTGGCGGCGAGAGCTTCGTCTGAGAGCAGCTCTTCGTCCATGTCGCCCTTCTCCCATTGTTTCTCGAGAGCGTCGTAATCGATGGTCTTGGCCCCCAGCACGCAAGCCACAAGTAGCACTATGAGCAGCTGTACTAGCCCGGCTCGCTGCATCGTCTGTCCCTTCGCTTGGATCTTTGCAGCTTGAAGCCGAGATGATGATTGGCTCCACCTCCGTCTCTATATCCTCCATTCGGGTCCTTGTCATCGCTCGCGTGCGAGCGCGATCGTCCAGTGACCAAACCAAATGGACATAATTTCCTCAATCAAGACCGAACTACTTGGGGGCAACAACCATGTTGGTGTCCGCCATGCCAGTGGTGGGCGAGGCGGGTTAGCTATTTGACTGACGCTACCAATTTGGAGATGGCTTGAGCTCGTGTGCTCTGCGCTTCGATTTTGGATCGTGTAACGTGTGCGATCTTGGCCTTGCGCCGAAAACCTCTTCCACTTCTTGGAAACGGCCCGTCGTCGGCTGCAACGGCTGCTACTACCCCGCCGCGTCGCAGTGCCTGACGGCCGACTACGACAAGGAATACTGCGAATACCTCGCCGCCGAGTACGGCACCAAGTGGTGCACGGCGTAAAGCGCTACCCATGCTCGTCGTTTGTTTGTGCGTACATGCAATTCGCTTGAATCAATTGCTATTATTCCTTTACAATAATCAACACTTTGTTACCATTTATGTATCGCTCGAGTACAATTGGCGCACACGCTGTGATGGCCAAGCGCCAAGCAAGTATAACGTCGTGGCATGAAGGTGCATTGTCGGGGATGTGCACTTGGAAAGGCCGCTTGCTTGATTGAAACTTTATAACCTCTGAAAAGAATACGGACCCCGCTGATCGAGTGCCAAAGGGTCGGTTTCGCATTCTATTGCGTCGGGGCGCTCCAGCTGTGCTGCTCAGGCAGCTACGGTTGCCAACGGAGGTCCTACTCGGGTATCATATAGTGCTCTCCGCGCATAGGCCGCTGGACTGCGTAGGCAGTTGCATTGCGGGTGCCAAATGCCAATGAAAGATTGCAGCCGCCGCAACCGCGAAGCTGCTTCGTATGCCTCAAACAAGCGCGTTCTCTGCGTACACAAAAGATGTCTTCGTAGCTTTGTACGCATTGTCAAATATACTTACCATGCAGTTTAAACTTTGTTGCTTCATCGTACTTGTACGTAGCGGCCACCAGGCACACGCTTCGTCGCATCGGTCGCGCGTCGCGTGGCACGTCGAGTATCGAGCAGTAGAGGCCGTTCCGCCGTCGTTTTGGCTGCGGTAGCCGTCGCGGCGAGGAGCAGCGACCCGCAGCGGTCCTTGAGCATGCACGGTGGCGCGTGGTGTCGCGGCGGGGTCGTGGGCTACCGTCGCGGCACGAAGATGAACGAGGCGGCGGTCTGGAGGTCGAGCCGAGCGAGCTGCCGACGAGCCGACGACCTGGAAAGCTAGCCGCGCGGGTCGAAAACGAGGCAGCTGTGTGGGGGCGCGACAGACTGGGCGTGCCGTGGACGAGCTGGGCGCGCCGTGGACGATCTGGGCGCATGGGACCGAAGTCACGAGAATACAGGCCACGACATGATACTTGCTTGGGCCATCACAGCGTGCGCGCCAATTGTACGCGTACTACGTCCCTCCCTTGC